TCCTCCTTCTTTTCCTCCTCCTCCTCCGCCTCCTACTCCGCCTTCTTTTCCTCCGTCCTCCCGCTCCTCCTCCTTCTCCTCGTCACCCTTCTTCATCCCATGCTCCTCCTCCTCCTCCTCCTCCTTCTCCTCCTCTTCCTCTTCCTCTCCTGTCTATCATTCCTCATATTCGTATGATTTTAGATATTATTATTATTCTATATATCAAAGGGGCCCTTGGCGTGACGGATGTTTGACTGAATTTGGCCCTTCCAAAAGGTTCCCAGCGGGGTCGGCGCCGATCCCGCCTGCCACCCTGAAAGCCGCCCCAAATCCGGTCGGCAAGGCCTTCATCGCCTCCAGGACGGCCGAGAGGGCCCAAGCCGGCCTCCAAGACGGCCCAAGAGGGCCCAAGAGGGCCTACAAGACGGGCCCAGTACGCCTTCAAGACCGCCACGAGGGGCCCCCCAATGCGGCGCGAGGTGCCCTCCAGACGGGCCAAGAGGCCCCCTAAGACGCCTCAAGAGGGCTCCAAGAGGATCCCCAGGACGCCAAAGCAGTTGATGTTCTAGGGGTCTGTGCCTTCTCGGGTGTCCGACGCTCCAACCCAGGCCCCCGACGTCATGACTTGTCCCAACCATCTGGCGGTGTTGTGTCCTCGTTTGGAAAAGATAGCGCCCCGCTTCCTCACTACCGCTGCCCCCTCCCCCCTCCTCCCGTCTCGCCCCTCACTTTGGCACACCCCTCACACGTTCCGTGGCCCCATAGGGAGCTCCACCGAAGGCCCCAGTGCTGTCCACATGCGTCCACCACACCCATTTCGGCACACCCCTCAAACCCTTCGTGGCCCCATAGGGAGCTCCACCGAAGGCCCTTGCCACCGTCCACATGCGTCCTCCACACCCATTCCGGCACACCCATCACAGTTTTCGTGGCCCCATAGGGAGCGTCACCGAAATTTGCAATTGCGGTAATCACAACTGCATATGGTTGGGTTCTTCGCCAGGCTAATTCATAACGTCGACCCTCAGGGTTCTCGACCCATTCGCCTGGACTGGTTTTGAATCCTGAATCGTTGTTTGACGGTCCCGAGGGCTGGTGAGGTCCTCTAGAGGCAGAAGATAAGGCAAAACCTCCCGTCATGTTTTTTTCACTGCCCGAGGGGGTTTGCGTAGGTGTGCCTTTTCGGGTGCCCGGCGCTCCAAGACGGTCCAGCAAGCCCTCGTGATCGCCCAAAGACGGCCCAAAAGGCCCCCGAGCGGCCCGCAAAAGACGGCCCAAGAGGACCGCGAGACAGCCCGAGAGGCCCCCAAGACAGCCTCAGGGCGGCCCCGAGACGACGCCGCAGACCTTCGAGGCGGCCCTGGGGCCGTCCAAAAGAGGGACCCGCGGCTGCCCAAAGGCGCCCAAGGCGGCCCCCGAAGGCTGAGAGATTCCTTAGATGCCCCCCAAGGAGGCCCAAGGAGGCTCCTCAGAGGCCCCCAGAGGGCCCCAGGAGGCCCCTAAACGACCCCCCAACGGCTCCCGGGTACCCTTAGAACCCACAAGACGGCCTCAAGATGCCTCCTTTCCCTTCTCCTCCTCATCCTCCTCGTCCTCCTTCTCCTCCGCTTATCCTCAGATTCTTTCCCCAACTGTTCCCCCAAAGGGTTCCATCCAATGGCTTGGCAAGACTTCGGCTCAACATTTGGCCACAGAAGAATCTCCAAAAGACAGAGGGCGACGGTGGTTCGCCGTAGGTGTCTAAGGGGTGGTTATCGTGCCAAATGTGCGACTTTTGTCTGTCTATTCCAAACTGGTCCCAATGGGGTCTCGGCTCATCCAACTCGCCACCCAGAAAATAGGTCCCCCGTACGCTTTCCCCTCAAACGGCTCCATAGGGCCTCCAAGACGGCCAAGATGGCCACATATGGCCACCAATATTCCGAAGATGGTCTTCGATACGGCCAACATGGACCCAAGAGGGCCCAAGACGGCTCCGAGATGCCCCCAAAACGGTTCCAAAACGTTCCCAGATAGCCTCAAGACGGTCCAAGAGGCTCCCAGTACGGCCCAAGAGTGGTCCAAAATGCCGTCTAGGAGGCTCGTATGACTGATTTCCTATATTCCCATTAGGCTGTGCCTAAATGGTTCTGTATCCTTTGTGAAGAACTGGTGGGTGCCAGACGCGGTCATCGCCCGGTTCCCCGGGGTTTCATGGTCATTTCACCTTAGTTACAAAGGGGGTCGCGTGGGGTTTCTTAGGCTCATTTCATTATAAAGCATTCCCAAGATTCCTGGGTATCGCGTTCCTCGGGGCTCCCCGAATCCCTTGATAGTCTGTTCTGACTGTTTTCGAAAGGCCAACCTTCCTCGTGATTTCCGGGTTCCCGGGGTTCTTTTGTCTTGTCTCCAAAGAGATGTCAAGTAATGCCAAGCGAGGCCAAGTAATGCAAAGCAATGCGAACACATGCGAAGCAACGTCAAGCGATGCCAAGCAATGCAAGGCACTGCCAAGTAACGCCCGCCGAGCACTGCCGAGCAATGCAATGCCAACCACTGCAAATAACACCAATCAAACCCAAAACAATGCAAACCACGGCAAAGAAATGCCAAGGGCTCCCAGGCGCTGCCAAGCAATGCAAAGAAACGCAAAGCGATGCCAAGCAAAACAACGCAATGCCAAACAATGCCAAGCAACGCCAAGCAATGCAAGGCCATGCAATGCCACGCAAGGCGATGCAATACCACGCAATGCCAAGCAAGAAACGTTCCCCTGCGCAATTGGGGTCGCGCCGGGCTCATGGTTCTAATCCGTGCTCACCCCAGGCGGCCACGGAGACATCCGGCATAGTCCCAGGGCGGCCCCAGAAGCTCCCGGGAGGACCCCGCGATGGGCCAAGGAGGGCCCCAAGACAGCCAAAAGAGGAGACCCGCGACACGGCCACGAGAGGGCTCGAAGGCGCCCGCGTGGGGGGGCCCCGCGGCGGCCCCAGAGAGGGCCCCCCCCCCCGCAACGCGGCCTGCGGAAGGCCACGGGGCTCCGCGAAGGTCCCACATGGCCCCCCCGAGGAGGGCTCCCCGGGCACCCCCAAGAAGCCCCCAGGAGGACCCCAGGAGGCCCCGAGAGGGCCCCAAGATGCCTTCTCTCTTTCCCCTCCTCCTCCTCCTCCTCCTCCTCCTCCTCCTCCTCCTCCTCCTCCTCCTCCTCCTCCCCATCATCATCATCATCATCATCATCATCATCATCATCATCATCATCATCATCATCATCATCATCATCATCATCATCATCAGCATAATCTTCATAATCATCATTATCTTCATCATCAGCATCATCATCACCATCATCATCATCGTCATCATCATCGTCATCATCATCATCAGCATCCTTCGGTCCCTCCCTCCTAACCTTCCTTTTTGTTGGTGTCTCTCTCTCTCTCTCTTTCTTTCTCGTCCTGTCTATCTCTCTGTCTCTCGTTGTCTCGTTCTCTCTTCTCTATTCCTCTCGGGCTGACTCTCTCGCTCTCTCTCTCTCTCGCTCCCTACTTGTGTCTCTCTCCTCCTCTCCCAAGCATTACCCCAAGGGGGTCCACAAAAGCGAGGGGAGCACATAGTCACATAGCTTGGCCAGACGTTGGCCAAGCGTTTCGCCACATGGACAGCTCCATGTAAGACCAAGTATCGCATAAGGTATAGACCAGTGGGTCGAGAGAGAGACCTCGAAACAATAGAGGAAGGTAGAGCGCACACGTGTCCCACACATGAGGCTCGCATCCACGGGGACCCACACATCGGGCTCCACCCACAAGATCCTCAGTATGATGCTGTACCCACAGCGTCCTGCCCAAACGGGTTCCACACATATACGGTGCCTTGTAATTTACGCCCCATTGTTGCAACCCTCAGCTCGCACTCCATAAACAGCACCCCCCCTCAGATTGCACCCTACAAATCGCCAAACTAGTTACACCCCATGCATTGCGCTCCGTAAGATTAAGCACACATTGCACTCCGCAGTTTGAATCCCAGACGTCACGACATCTTTTTTCCACCACGCGAAAACAAAATATTTGATTATTCCACTTCTCTCGACATGACCTCCTGATCGAAGGACGTCCGACAGCAAGAAGCGGCCACGCTCACTCCCAGTGGGCGATAGCGCGGGAGAGGCCGCCAGACAGTGCCAGCAGCTCCGAGGCCTTGGTTCCAGTGGCAGAGTCCTTGCACTCATCGCGGACTTCCAGGCTCTTCTGGTGGGTCTCGTAGGACTTGGTCACTGCCTTGCTGTCGAGCCCCAGGAGGCCCTCCAGGCTCTTGCTCCTCTCCTCGCCGAGACCCTTCACGTGCGCCACCTTGACGGTCAGGTACTGGCGCCCGGGCTTCGGCATCGAAACGTCGATCTCGAGCTTCTTGGCCTTCTGGTCCTCCGTGCCGACGCGGAACAGGAAGCGGTGCTCGAAGGGCCCCTTGATGTCCTCGCTGTGGCCCTCGCGCCTGCCGATCACGCCCTTGACAGTGGTGACCATGCCGGAGCCCTCGTCCTTGTGGATGAACTGATCCCACCCGGTCATGTTCTTGAAGGGCTTCCAGGGGCTGTTGTGCTTCTTCGGGTCCACCTTCAGCGCGAAATCGGAGCTGGTGCCCTGCGCGCGCACCTGCACGGTCGTGCCACCGAGCCAGCTGCCGGTCAGGGTGATCTTTTTGATGAACAGCAGGCACGGGTCCCCGATCTCCAGCTCCTTCACTAGCGCCGACACCTCCAGCAGGCTGCCATGGCGCTTCTTGGCGTTGGGCACAACCAGCAGCGCGTGGTCTCCTGGGCGGTGGATCTGGAAACGCTTGCCGTACAGTCCCAAAATCTTCGGGTCGCCCGAGGCCGGCCCGGTGACCGTCGAGTACTTCAGCTCGTCCTCCCGCGCCTGCTCCGGATCCGGATCCGCGCCCTCCTGGAGCTGGAGCCCCAGGGCGCGCGGGAGCGCCAGGAGCAGGAACGCGGCCGCGGAGCGGGGCATCGCGGGGAGGAGGAAAGGGACGTGTAAATGGGGGGTCCACGGAGCGCCTCGATCAGAAGAGGGCTACGGCGGGCGATGGGGACCACCAGCAGCAACAGCAGATGCTGCGGCAACAAGGCGATCAGGATCGAGGGGCCTGCTCTGCTCTTGCATGCCAAAACTCTGCTCACACCAAGGGCTTCCTATTCTGTCTGCTCAATAACTGCCCATCGGCCCAGCACTGTGCCAGCACAGGGCGGAAAGAAGGCTGCACAGGGCGGCGGCCGAGCGCACCGGGAGCAGCAGCAGCTGCTGCTGCGGGAGCAGGGATCACCCGGGGTTTCTTGAGCGGGCGGTCTTGTGGCATGGCGATGACACGTTGTGAAGGAAGCGGGCCCGGGACCCTCGGGGCGTCCCCCCAGTTTTTTGCTCTGAATTGGGCCTCACTTTGGCCCTACAGGGCCCCTTTAGGGGGCCCTACGAGGGCCCCCTCATGGGGCCCTGAAGGGCCGGCCCTTTTGCTGTGGCCCTCGCCACCCCCGCTCATGTTCCCCCCCCCCACATCCAGTACGGGACGCCCAATGACGACGAGAGTCGTTGACGCTCCTAGGGCCTGCTGGGCAGGGCCCCGCGAAACCGGAAGCCACGAAACGCCCACAGACCCGTTCCTCGCAGGTAGGGGAACGAAGCATGACATAAACATAAAAGCTCAGAGGTCCCCGCGGATTCCTCGGATCGACGCTGGACCCTCCTCCCTGGCGCGCTCAGCACGCCAAGGGCGGCCCCGGAGGCGCCGCCAGGGGGTTCCACCGCCGATGCGAGAAATACGCGCGGACCTCCGGATTTCGATGTTTGCGTTATTTTTCGTTCCCCCAGCAAGACCCGTCCGCTTCATGGCGACGGCTGCCCTCGGCTTGCCGGGACTTGCGGCGGCGCTCGCCCACAGGGTGCCGCCACCCCAGCCTTCGGTCGGGCATGTCCCCCTACAGGCGGACTCTTTGGAGGGAAAAACAGAAACTAGTCGAACAATACCCCCAAATGGCCAAACGTAATCAAGGAATCGTCCCCAGGCGATGTTTTGACGATTGTTGAATCTTCCTCCCCAAACATCCGGCTGCTCCAACTTTTTAGGGGGCGTGGACCCACGAGGTCCAGACCACTTCACCGGGACCGGTTTTGTTGACGCCCCCGAGCCCCAGCGAGGGCCTCCAGAGGACGAAAACTGTCAAAAACCGCCTGCTCCAATTTTTTTGGAGCCTCGGATCTCAGGGTCCTGCAGAGGGATTGTTGTGGAATCTTCCTCCTACAGTGGCACGTGCCCGACTTCGCCCCAGCCGCCAGTTCGGGAGCGGCCAAGAGGGGGGTGCCCAGGAGGGGGGGGCGCAAATCCTGACCAGCGGCACGTGCGCGGCCCAGGGACGTAATGGAACAAGAAGGGGCGCCACGACATCTGGGGAGATATCATGGCCCCCGCCGTGATATCCACCCCCCCTAGTCCTCACCCCCCTCTTTTCCGCCCCCGAGCTCCGCGCAGCGGACGACCCGCTCGCCTCGCCGGGACCCCTTCGGGGCGACCAGCGCGCGTCGCGGGGACTCCGTGCGGCGCCGCGCCCGCAACCTTGGACGTGGGCGTGCACCGGCAAAGAGGGAGAAAAAGAACGGGAAGGAGGCGGGCGCGATCCTCGTGAGAGGCGCCATCACCCCCCTCTTTTCTGCCCCCGACCGCTGCAGGGTGGCCCCCAAAAGGGGCGGCACGCCGGGGCCCCGCCCTCGGGGCCCCCCGCCCGGCGCGAGCGCGCTGGGCCAGGCCGAGCGCCGCCGTGCAAGGCCGCGCCCGCGGGGTTCCGCCGCCGGGCCCCGGGAGCCCCCCACGCGCGCGGGATCCCACACGTGCAGAGACCCGCACCCGAGCCCCGCTCACAGAGGGTGCAGGTAAGGCGGTCCGGAGTCGAGGAGGGGCGTCAGAGGGTCTAGAGGAGCAGACTCTCTCTCTGTCTCTCTCTTTGCATATATATATATACATACATACATACATACATACATACATACGTACGTACGTACGTACGTACGTACGTACATACATACATACATACATACACATACCTACCTACCTACTTACCTACCTACCTACCTACCTACATACCTACCTACCTACATACATACATACATGCATGCATACACACATACATACATACATACATACATACATACATACATACATACATACATACATTCATACATACATACATACATACATACACACACCCATACATACATACATACATACATACATACATACATACATACATGCATACATCCATACAAACATGCATACATACATACATGCATGCATGCATGTATATATACATACATACATACATACATACATACATACAAAACATGCATACATACATACATACATACATACACACACATACATACATACACACATACATACATACATACGTACGTACGTACGTGCGTACGTACGTACGTACATACATACATACATGCATACATACATACATACACACATATATATATATATAGAACAGCAGAGCGCAGGCCCTGAAGCCCCACGCGTGGGATCCCACACCCGGGGACCCACACCCGAGCCCCTTTCGCAGAGGGTGCAGGTCAGGCGCGCCGGAGTCGAGGAGGGACGTCAGAGGGTCTAGAGGAGCAGACTCTCCCTCTCTCTGTATATATATATATACAAACATACACACACACATATATATATATAGAACAGCAGGGCGCAGGCCCTGGAGCGCCCCACGCGTGGGATCCCACACGTGCAGAGACCCACACCCGAGCCCCGTGCACAGAGGGTGCAGGTCAGGCGGGCCGGAGTCGAGGAGGGACGTCAGAGGGTCTAGAGGAGCAGACTATGTCTCTCTCTCTCTCTCTCTCTCTCTCTCTCCGTAGATATATATATATATATACAATATATATATACATATATATATAGAACAGCAGGGCGCAGAAGGGACAGATCAGAGGGCAAAGTTTGGCAGGTGCAGAGCAGGAGGGTAAAGAGACACGTGGGTAGATACGAAATTGGGAGAGCAGAACGAAGAAGGTAGAGACTCCTCCTCCTCCTCCTCCTCCTCCAACTCCCCCTCCTCCTCCTCCTCCTCCTCCTCTTCCTTCCTCTCCTCCAACTCCTTCTCCTCCTCCTCCTCCAACTCCTCCTCGTCCTCCTCCTCCTCCTCCTCCTCCTCCTCCTCCTCCTCCTCCTCCTGTAGAGGGTAGACAGTAGAGGGCAGCGAGAGGCCCTCCCACCAGGCCCCATCCGTATGGCCCCACGGGTCCCACCAACCGGGTGCCCACCTCCGCTCGTGGAGTCCCACCCGTCCGGGCCCACAATGCGGGCGTCCCCTCGGGGTCCCACCCGCAGGGTCCCTCGCATCTGCGGCACTCCGCAGTCGAAACCCGATTGCAACCCTGAACTTGCATCCCGTGAGCTGCACCCTTCGAGCTGCACCGCACGAGCTGCACACCGTGCGTTGCACCCAGCAGATTGCGCTCCGTACCATGCAGACCAAGCTGCAACCCGTAGATTGCACCAAAGGCGTTACCCCTTGACTACCCTGAACTGCTTGAGGTCCACGCGCTTGCATCATCATTGATGATTCCGCAACTCAGAAAAGTGACAACCGGATCAAAGAACGTCCAACAGCCAGAAGCGGCCGCGCCGCTCACTCCCAGTGGGCGATGGCGCGAGAGAGGCCGCCAGACAGTGCCAGCAGCTCCGACGCCTTGGTTCCAGTGGCAGAGTCCTTGCACTCATCGCGGACTTCCAGGCTCTTCTGGTGGGTCTCGTAGGACTTGGTCACTGCCTTGCTGTCGAGCCCCAGGAGGCCCTCCAGGCTCTTGCTCCTCTCTTCGCCGAGACTCTTCACGTGCGCCACCTTGACGGTCAGGTACTGGCGCCCGGGCTTCGGCATCGAAACGTCGATCTCGAGCTTCTTGGCCTTCTGATCCTCCGTGCCCACGCGGAACAGGAAGCGGTGCTCGAAAGGCCCCTTGATGTCCTCGCTGTGGCCCTCGCGCCTGCCGATCACGCCCTTGACAGTGGTGACCATGCCGGAGCCCTCGTCCTTGTGGATGAACTGCTCTCACCCGGTCATGTTCTTGAAGGGCTTCCAGGGGCTGTTGTGCTTCTTCGGGTCCACCTTCAGCGCGAAATCGGAGCTGGTGCCCTGCGCGCGCACCTGCACGGTCGTGCCACCAAGCCAGCTGCCGGTCAGGGTGATCTTCTTGATGAACAGCAAGCACGGGTCCCCGATCTCCAGCTCCTTCACTAGCGCCGACACCTCCAGCAGGCTGCCGTGGCGCTTCTTAGCGTTGGGCACAACCAGCAGCGAGTGATCTCCTGGGCGGTGGATCTGGAAACGCTTGCCGTACAGTCCCAAAATCTTCGGGTCGCCCGAGGCCGGCCCGGTGACCGTCGAGTACTTCAGCTCGTCCTCCCGCGCCTGCTCCGGATCCGGATCCGCGCCCTCCTGGAGCTGGAGCCCCAGGGCGCGCGGGAGCGCCAGGAGCAGGAGCGCGGCCGCGGAGCGGGGCATCGCGGGGAGGAGGAAAGGGACGTGTGAATGGGGGGTCCACGGAGCGCCTCGGGCAGAAACGGGCTACGGCGGGCGATGGGGACCACCAGCAGCAACAGCAGCTGCAGCGGGAACAAGGCGATCAGGATCGAGGGGCCCGCTCTGCTCTTGCATCCCAAAGCTCTGCTCACACCAAGGGCTTCCTATTCTGCCTAATCAATGTCTGTCCATCGGTTTGCCAGCACTGTGCTAGCACCCTCCCCCGGGCACCCCAACCCACTCACCAGCATCCTAGTAGCACCCGGTCAGAAGCCTCCCAGCACCCTGCCAGAATGTGACTAGCAACCTACATCCACCCCGCTAGCACGCACCACGAGATCTGGAAACAACCTCCCCATGGCTTCTAGAAGGCATCTGCGCAAGCGTGCGCCTCTTGGAAGAACCCCGCAGCTTGGCGCCGTCTCACCAGCACATTGGCCCTCGGCCTTGCAATTCCCAGCAACGACTGTGCTCTGGGCGTGGCCAACCACACCCTGTTCACTTTACTTGGACATATTATCTTGTAGCACCCCGCAGTTGCGGATCAGAGTGAGGGGGCGGGCGCGGGGTGGGTCGCGGGTGGGTCGCGGGCGGGTCGCGGGAGGGTCGAGGTTCGAGGTGCTAAATGCGGTTGGATCGCGGGTGGGTCGCGGTTGGATCGGTCGCGGGTGGGTCGCGGGCGGGCGGATCGCGGGTGGGACGACGACAACAGCAACGCAACAAGCAACAACAACAAACAACAACGCGACAACAGTCCGCACCGCGGAGACCCCACTTTAACCACGCACCAAGGGACAGTGAATGACCGTTCGGCCACCTCACTCTGACATGCTATGGAAGGTTATGGTCAGACTTGGGCGGGCATTCGCCAAGGCGTCTCGGAACAAATTGTGTGGAAGCATCCAGCGAGCGCCGTCGTCGACGTAGCTGGGCCTCCTCCAAACAGTAAATCGCGAGAGTGTCTCGGGAAAGAGCGCCACTCCTGAGCGTCAGGGCATCTCTGTCAGGGATTCCACTACAAAAGAAGGGTGGCCTGTTTCTGGGGAGGGGCGTCTGCTTGGAGCCGTCTTGGAGGGTTCCCGCGGGGTCTGGGCAAAAGGCCGCCCTTCCCTGGCTGGTCTGGGGGGGGGAAGTCCCAAACTGGTCGTCCGGGAGGGCCGCGAACCCCTCCGTGTCCTCCTGAAGACTTCGCAGCACAGTGTGCGGAGGCGCCGAGCGGGAGCCGTCGCCGGCGTCGACCCCGCGCCGAGCGACCGGGCGGCCCGGCGCGCCCGCCCCGAGCGGGCTCTGAGGGCACACGGCTGGTGTTAGGTCGGGCATGCCCTCCTCCAGGGGGGGTTCGAAGGAACATGCGATTCCTGCTCTTCAAAAACACACAAGAATCGTCAAACACACTCGAGAAATCGTCCCCATGTTATTATTTGCTCATCTTTGAACGTGTATTTCTCCATGCCCGACTTCAGGCTGGTGTTCGAGTGGCTCGGCCCCGCTGGGCCCAAGCCATAACGGGACTGCACCACGTCCCACAGAGGCCCTCAGAAAGCTCCAGTAAGGTCCACGTGACGTTAGCACTCTGATCGCGATGCCTCCCAAGAGCGTACGGCGGCGCAAAACAACTTCAACGTCGAGATCATCACGTCCCGCTGCGACGCGGTCCCGAGGGCACCCAAGGCCCTCACACGGCTCCTTCAATTGTCCCAAAGACACGACCATTGGGGCCCAAGTCGCCGTTCCACATTCTGCCGTGTCCTCCATACCGTCTCCTACCCAAGGCTTGCGGCACTCGCGAGCCCGTCACTGCGTTTCTGGCCCCCCCCCCTCTGCGGCCACGACTGCGTACATGTATATAGACATGCGTCTGTGTGCACGTAGATCTGCCAAAGTAGACCTGATACGTGTGTCTGCGCAAGCATGGATCTATGTGTATACCATATATACATATTTATACATATATATATATATATATATATATATATATATGTATATGTGCACAATAACTACACAAACAACGTACATACATTTACATGTATACGCACCTATATGTATGCCTATGTATATACAGCGCGCAAGCACGTGCGCGCGTATGACGTGTATTCCCATATTCGCGCGCGTGTACGCGCGCACGCGCGTCGCACGCGTGCGAAACTCGAAGGACCAAGCTCCGTGGCGCGAAGCGCCACTCCAGCCTTGTGTGTATGCGTGTGTATATGTATATGTATATGTATATATATATATATATATATATATATATATATATATATATATCGGAGGTTGGGGGGTGAGATCGAAGTGGAACGGAGAGACCCCCTACCGGGAAATCGATTTCGGTTTCGTGTTCGTGCGTGCCGTGCGGGCGAGGCGAAGCTGCGTGGGCGGGCGGAAGGAAGTCTCCTGTGGCTGAGGCGCGGCCGGACCAAATGACTCCCTTCCGGGCGGCCGATGGCCCGCGGTGTCCCGCCGGTGTCCCGCTGGTGTTCCGTGCGTGGCTGAGGCGCGGCCGGACCAAATGATCCCCTTCCGGGCGGCTGGTGGCCCGCGGTGTCCCGCCGGTGTCCCGCTGGTGTCCCGTGTGGCTGAGGCGCGGCGGGACGAAACGATTCCCTTCCGGGCGGCCGGGGCGGCGCGGTGTCCTGCCGGTGTTCCGCCGGTGTCCCGTCCGTGTCCCTCCCGTCGGTGTCCCGATGATGATGTTGATGATGATTCTGATGATGATTCGGATGATGATTATGATGATGATGATGATGATGATGATGATGGTGATAATGATGATGTTGATGATGGCGATGATGATGACGATGATGATGTTGATGTTGATGATGGCCGGCCGGGCTGCCGAATCCTCACCATCAGTTCTTCAGTTCAGCTCGCCGTTGACAATGAGCGGGCCGGCCGTGCTGCCGACTTTGCGCAGAGAGTCTTCGTGTCGACTGGCATGGGCGGAGACACGGAGAGAGCGGCATGTGTGTCGAGCGGCATGTGTGTCAAGCGGCATGGTGGGATCGTGCGTGGGATAGTGAGACCGGCCGAGAGAGATCGATGATGAAATCGATTGTGAGATCGATGGTGAGATTGATCGAGTGAGATCGATGAGTGAGACCGATAAAGAGATCGATAGTGAGATCGATAGTGCAAATTGGGGCGCGGGCTGCGCCAAGCTTTGCCAGCGCTTCAATCTTCTGTGGCCAAATGGCGCCGTTAGCTGCCGTTGCGCAAGTTGGGCAGGTTCCCAGGGGGAGGGCCGAATGGTACCAAGGCGCCAAAGAGCAAAGGGTGACGTAAACAACTCGACACCAACGTTCCCAAGAGCGAGCGGCAACGCAACTATCTCCACTGGCACTGTCACAACAACATTCACCACTGTTGCCCATTGCTGGGCCCCTCCCCCCCCAACCTCCTTATCACCCGCAGGGTGGTCGTATAGGTATATATGTATGTGTGCGTGTGCGTTTCACGCCGTGGGTCGCTTCTCGGGGGGGGGAGGGGTATATATATATATATATGTATGTATGTATGTATGTATGTATGTATGTATGTATGTATGTATGTATGTGCGCGTGTGGATATCACGCCGTGGGTCGCTTCTCGGAAGAGGAGGAGGGCCCAAACGGTGTGGTTTCTTGTTTTTTTTGTTCCGCGTCGCCGCGCGGCTTGGGGGCTCCGGTCGTCCTGCAGGGACGCCTCGGGCCACCGGGCCGCCTTGACAAAAAGAACAACGAACAACAAACAACAATAACAACAACAACAGCAACAACAACAACAACAACAACTACCACAACATCAACATCAACAACAACAACAACAACAACAACAACAACAAACAACAATAACAACAACAACAACAACGCAAGGACACCCTCTCAGGCCACCCCGGCGGGGCCCGTGGCGGTGTCCTCGCCCCCCGGGCGAGCGCACTCCCCCAGGCCACACGTTGCAGTTGTTGCCCGGGGGGGGGGGAGCAACGCGCAACACCTCTGTCATACGCTAACGTAAATCTATAGGTGTTGTCGAATCTCCGTGGGCTCCCTTACTGTTCCCCACGCGCTCCTGTGTCCGAAAACCGACCGCGCGCCAGCGAGGCCAGCTCCTCCTCCCAATAGGACTCCCATGGAGTCGTGCAGGACCCCGAAAGGATCCTATGGGATCCCTATAGGGTTCCGATGGGATCCTGTAGGACCCTGTAAGGATCCTATAGGGTCCCTATAGGGTTCCGATGGAATCCTGTAGGGCCCATCTTATAGGATCCTTATAGGGTTCCGATGGAATCCTGTACGACCCTGCGGGGATCCTATAGGCCCCCCCTCGGATTCCTATAGGGTTGCTATGGGATCCTGCAGTATTACAATAGGATTCCTATAGGATTCCTATCGGATTGCTATAGGGTTGCTACGGATTCCATAGGATTCCAATATTATTACAATCGGATTCCTATGGAATCCTGTAGGACCCTTTAGGGATCCTCTAGGATCCCTATCGGGTTCCTATGGAACCCTGTAGGACGCTGAAGGGATCCTATAAGGACCCAACAGGACCCCAATAGGGTTCCGATCGGGATCCTATGGAATCCTGGAAGCCCCATATAGGGATCCTATGAGACCCCCATCGGAATTCTATAGGAATCCGATGGAATCCTGTAGGACCCTGTGGGGGTCCTATGAGATTCCAATAGGAACCCCATCGGATTCCAATGGACTTCCTATGGAATCCTGTTGGACCCAGTAGGGACCCAATGGGTTTCCAATGAGATTCCAATAGGATTCCTATGGAATCCTGATGGACCCTGTAGGGATCCTATGGGTTCCCAATGAGATTCGAATCGGATTCTTATGGCATCCTGTAGGACGTTGTAGGGATCCCATCGGATACGAGTAGTATTACAATACTATTCCTATGGAATCCTGTAGGACCCTGTAGGGACCCTATAGGTTTTCCACTAGGATTCCAATCGGATTCCAATGGAATCCTGTAGGACCCTGTTGGGGCCC